GCTGTGGTTGCTCTGTTGCTCCCCCTCCCAGGCTGCCTCCTGTATATGGTTTCTCATGGGATAAAGTTCACTGCTCAGGGGATCTTTCCACAATGATGGAAGTGCTCTAGATCTGCACACTCCAGTATGATGGCCACTGCCAGATGTGACCATTGAGCACTTGCAATGTGGCTAGTGGGCTGGGCATGGTGGTGCACGTCTATAATCCTAGCAGCTCCAGAGACTGAGGCAGAAGGATCTCAAGTTCAAAGCCAGCCTCAGCAAAAGCAAGGCACTAAGCAACTTAGTGAGACCCTGTCTCTAAATAAAATACAAAATAGGGCTGGGGATGTGGCTCAATGGTTAAGTAACCCTGAGTTCAATCCCTGGTCATCCCCCCAACCCCCCCCCCAAAAAAAAAAAGAAAAGAAAAAGGAAATATGGCTAGTGGGACTGAGGAAATTAACTTTTTTTCACTTAAGTGGCTGTATGTAACTCGCTAATGGACAGCCACCTTAGAGCTAGCTAACTTGATCAAGTCTAGGCAGAAGGTTGGGAAGAGAGCCAAGAGCGCCCACTAGTAGATGCTTACCCAGGCCACCTCCCCACCCCACAGCCAGAAGCAGGGCCTCCTTGATTAGTTGACAGTTAATAAGCAAATGATACCTGTCACTTTCTCTGATCCAGCCTGTCATGTGCCTGCCCAGTTAAGCTGGTAGCATCTCTGTTTAATAGCAGTTGGTGGCCAAACATCCAGTGAAAGGGTAAGATGGTCTTTGGCCCTCCAGCTTCAGTCCCCTAGCTGCTGGACTCTGCTGGGACCAAAGAAGCAACTTCACAAGAGGATACACATGGGCATTTGTCTTTTTGATGACCTGTCACAGGGACTCAAGGCCTGCACTGCTCTTAGGGATAGATGCCTATATTTACTCCATGGCCTTCTCAGTCAGGAGTTTCTGCTCTGTGTAGATCTATGTCCAGGAAAGAGCTATTCATTGATTGACTTTCTTTTTAATCATAACCAAGATGAGTCCCTGAGTTTAAGAGGTCCTAATCTCTCAGTGGAATAAGGAACAGTGTAACATTTTCATCTCTGCTTTGCCGTCAACCACCCAAACCTTTAAAGAGCTGTTGATGTTGCAGGGAAAACTTTTATTGCTAGGATGTCTCCATGGAAACAGAATCTTTGTCTTACAATGATCTCTGGTGCCTACAGCTTCCCCCACTTGACACTGGTCCTGCATTTCTGACATCCTCATTAGCAGTTGTGGGCCGCTTGTTATGTCACAGGCACAGGATTTGGCTCCAGGTAGAGGATGCAATAAAAAGAACATGAGCTCTGGTTTAAAAAAATTTTTTTAATGTATTTAATGCAATGAGCCATAACAATTAAGACAGAAGGAAAAAAGGGCTGTGGTAGCTCATTAATAATTCTACTGTGCATAAAGAATCTTGCCTGGAGTGGATTTTCCTTTTATTCTCATGAAGAAACACAGCTGGGAATTTTACTCTGCAGCCACCTTTGCAGCAACATTTCAGAGCTGCTCTTTCTGCTGCAGACTTTGATCTTGCAGTAGCAGAGGCAAAGCCCTGTATGGACCATTCTGGATTACTGAGGGTCTTGCCCCCTTCATGGAGGGGAAGCCATCTGCATCACAAAAACCAGTCCCAGTGCCCCATTATTCCCCTCCATGTGTTTCAAAAGCCTAACCCTGCCCCTGAGCAAAGCTGTGTGGAAGACAGTAGTGCTAAGGTAGAGTGTAGCTGAACTGGAGATAGTATCTGATGCCCAGCAGATCCAAAGGACATTAGACCCCTCTTTTTACCTCATCCTTGAGATTGCTCTCCTCAGCCTGGGGTCTGTGTAGATGTCAGGACTATCAGAAGCTTTATGGTACTTTTTATGATGAGGAGCTCAGCAAAGTTACTTGGCCTTTAATAAAGAGAAAGGAAAGTGGGATTCTGTCCTGGGAGTTGGTGTTTGTTTCTGGAAGCTATCTTGACTTGGCCACCTTGTGAGTCTTTCCCAGCTTATGTCATGATCCAGCAAGCTATTTGCTTTTACTTCAACCTGTGGAAATACTGACCAGGCCCTCTGGATAGTGTAGGGTTAGTTTCTTTTTCTTCAAAGAAAACATATCAGGAGACTGATGTTGGCTGGCCACTGAAGGGGACAGGCGCTTATTCCAATCAGAGAGCACTTACTAGATTTCCTCCTGCTCTTTACTCTTGCCCTGAGCAGGACCTGACTGGAGACAGGATAGAAGAGGCACCCCCATGTCCTTCTAGGTTTCTGAGCTCTCTCACTGGTTCTGACCCTGCCAGGGGCAGGAACTGCAGTTCCTGACAGCCTGTGGATATGTACAAGAACTAAAAGAAGGACTTGTTGATACAGTGTTCCTTTGGGGCAGAGGTGGGCACTGTGTCTGGCAGTTTCTCTAGGAGACTTCTGTTCCAAAAGTACCTGGCAGTAGGTCCCAGTTGCCCTTAGTATGTACTTTCTTTCTTTCCTGCATTTAACTCAGGAAGACATTCCCTAACTTCAGACACGTTTTTACCAGTGGTCTGTCACATCTGGTCACTGTTCTGTGGCTCTGAGGGGAACTGAGCCACCTGTGCTCCCTTTAATGGCACCCTTTGCCACAACATGACCCCCATCTTTGGTTTTGTAAGCCTCTGTGGCATCAGAGTGGCCGAGCTCCATGATGCTGTACTTTCTTTTTGGCCCAGGGTAGAGATTGCCATGTAGCACTGCCAGAGCCCAGGTGAGGAGGACGTGCTTTCCCCAGCTCCAGTTGTCTGTCTCCTGCTGTTTATAAACTCTCTGGCAGATTGGAACAGCAGGAGCCTTGGTCACGCTATGTACTTGTGGGTTTTAAATTAACACATTTCATTTACTGCCATGCTAGTTGCCTGCTGGGAAAGGGGCCTGGAGGTTAGTGACGATGACTCGATGAGTTCTTGGGCCCTGGGAGCAGAGAAGGCTGCCGGCCCATCCTCTATAAGTCAAAAACTCCCAAGGCCAGGTGGTGATGTTATTAGTTTGGACAAGTTCTGAAATTTCCTTTTTTGATTTGTTCAGGATATTGAAGACTTAAAAATTTTTCATTTGAGTGTTCCTTTGCTTACAACTATTTCACTTGAAATCTGTGGGTACACAGGCTGTGAATCTGGATCTAGGTTTAAACCAGTTAAATCATAAACTCAACAAGGCTGCCTCCTGCCATGGTGCTCAGGAGATTTCTGAGAATGTGGGATCAGTATTTATTACCATTTTGTCACTACGTCCTGCACCAGTGACCTGGCTGCCAGCCTGCAGAAGCTGTGGTGTGTAGGGTGGGCTCACTCTGGGTTTTCTCGCAAGCTCCATGCCCTGCCTTGTACATGGAGCTCGACTCGCCTGGAGGGAGATGCATCCTTGCTGTCATTGAGAATGCTGTCACATGTCAAAAGTTGGAATAAATCCCTTTTCCTCCAAGGATTAAAAGCACCCTCATGGGATTTTACTTTCCTGTGAAGCATTCAGTGCAGATCATGTGATTTGTATTGGGGGTGTCTCCTGTGTGTCCAGGGATTGTGGGATGCAGGTGACAGCAGGGTTCTCAGGACCACCTGGGTTCTCAATAGAGGAGAAATGCCTCTAGATTTCAGGTGTCTTTGTGAGGAGGCTTTGCCATGAGCCTGTGGAGTGGGTTAACCTAGAATTGAGAATTATTAAAATAGCATTATTTGGCCAGGTGTGGTGGCACATGCCTGTAATCCCAATGGCTCAGGAGTCTGAGGCAAGAAGATCATGAGTTCAAAGCCAGCCTCAGCAAAAGCAAGGCACCAAGCAACTCAGTGAGACCCTGTCTCTAAATAAAATATAAAATAGGGCTGGGGGTGTGGCTCAGTAGTTGAGTGTCTCCAAGTCCCCGGTACCCTCCCCTCAAAAAATTACTTGGGGATTATCTCTGGTTATTAAATATGAGCCATCATGGAAACACAGAACAAAATAATAAAATTAAAATCACCTGGGGCTGGGGATGTGGCTCAAGCGTAGCGCCATCGCCTGGCATGCGTGCGGCCCGGGTTCGATCCTCAGCACCACATACAAACAAAGATGTTGTGTCCACCGAAAACCAAAAAATAAATATTAAAAAATTTTCTCTCTCTCTCTCTCTCTCTCTCTCTCTTTCTCTTTTTCTCTTTTTAAAAAAAAAAAATTACCTGTAATACTACCCAAAGAGAACCTCTGTAATATTTTGGTAGATTTCCTTTCAGTTTTTTTTTTTTATGCATGTAAAACATTTTAATGAAATTAAGAATGTACCTATACATTTGTATTTCTTGGTTGGTCAAACAGTTTTATATCATAAGTGTTTACCCACATCATTCCACATCATTAACTACTTTAAAATTTTAACTTTTTAATTGACTGATATTCTATCATGTTAAGGTACCATAGTTCATCTGGTGTGTTACTGATGTTTTCCTCTTAGAAATTACAGTGCAAGGGGCTGGGGTTATGGCTCAGCGGGGCAGCGTTCACCTAGCATCCCTGTTGATCCTCAACACCACATAAAAATAAATAAAATAAAGGTATTGTGTACAACTACAACTAAAAAATATATATATATTAAAAAAAAAAAAA